TCTATTAATCCATTTTCTCTTTGTTCATCTCAGTCTAAGGATATTTATGAAAAAGTCGGTGAGGCTACTGAAACAGCTTTGTCCGTTTTGGTTGAGAAGATCAATTTTTATAACACTGAAACTAGCCACTTAAACAAGAGGGAAGTTGCTACTGCCTGCAACCAGGTCATCCAAAGCATGTGGAAGAAGGAATTCACCCTGGAGTTCTCTCGTGATCGCAAATCCATGAGCGTCTACATTGTTCCCAATAAACCATCAAAGGAAGGAACCAGAATGTTTGCCAAGGTTTGTTAATAACTTGTTTGCACTTATCTCCCCCTCCCCAATAGAGTACATTCCCGTACAAGGTCTAAGAGCCACTCAAGGTAAAATCTTCCAGAGTAAGAGGTACAGTTTATGCAAAAATGTTTGGGGGGGGTGTACTAGAGACTTGAATGGGATTACAATTTTAGTGATCAGGGAAAGCATCTGCTTGGGAGTCAGTTCTACAAAAACTCTCTGGCTTGCTTGCTATGTATTTTTTTCCTCTTCTCGTAACATTCAAAACAAATTAATTTCTATCACTTTTGATATTTTTATCTACAAATTGAAAACTAAAATGATTTTTTTTTAAATTTTAAAATCTTGATATTTGTATTAAAATTAATTACCACCACTTTTAGTTTATTTTCATAACTTCCTAATTTTCCTGTATCTGTAAATGAACTTGGCTCTTATATATGCGTCTATCTATTTCAACCAGGGTGCTCCTGAAGGTTTGCTTGATCGTTGCACCTCCGTCCGTGTTGGCAAAGATAAGTTGCCCATGACTCCTGCTGTGAAGAACGAGATTTTGAAGGTCTGCAAAGCTTGGGGTACTGGCCGTGATACTCTCCGTTGTTTGGCTCTTGCTACCATTGATAACCCACCCAAGGTTGAAAATATGGATCTGGAGGACTCTCGCAAATTCATTGAGTATGAGGTAAGCTTTGAATGACTTTTATTCCTATTGCAATTTGAACTTTACAATTCAATTACACATGTTGTCAGATCTGTATTCTTAAAATTGATTCCTATCAGAATGTCTTTTAGCAAGAATCTGCCTTTTCTTGAAAGACAAATTAAGCCTACCCTGCCTCCACCCACCAAAAAAAAAAAAAAAAAAAAATTCAACAAATAATCTTTTGTAAAATGACAACTTGAAATAATAGAAGAAAAAAAATATATATGACTTTATTACTTTTACCCAAGGTTAGAAACAATTTCTTTATCTCCTTGTACAGTGGAGTAATGGGTAGCAGCTCTGATTGAGAAATCTGAGAGCTGAGTTCAAACTCCAGTCAACTCCATTACATTCACTGATGTGCTAATACCCTTGGGAAAGATATGAATCATCTCCCCTCCAGCTATGGGTAAATAGCAGAACAGACCAGGTTCTATAGCCTTGGATGGCAGCTGGTCTACCACAGAAAGAAATGGCGGGTGGGATCTATCAAGTTGGTCAAGTATCAAAAAATACATGATAACCTACATGTGTCTCGCACATGGCATATAACTGACTGACTGTCTAATTGCAAGATAATTTGATTTAGTTTGAAGCAAAGGATAGGAATATTGTCTTTTTTTTTTTTTTTTTTTTTTTTTTAATTATAATTTAACAGAATAAATACAGAATAGGTAAAGTAAAATCTTTACTGGTGATTTTTTTACTTTGCGGGTGGCTATTTAGGTTTGTGCTCCTAGAGGTATGATTCTACCAGGCATCCTGACAAGCTATCTATAAATTATTGTATTTAGTAATGGTTTCACATTGTCATGAAGTTGTTTAGGAAGCATCCATGCTATTATGTGCATTGTCGCACACATCATATTTATATTGGTTCCAGTATTGAGATTCCCCCCCAAGTTTTCTTTTTTTTCTCTTACCTTGAAATTGAAAGGTTATAACCACTTGATTGTATCTCATTTGCATAATATGAACACTGCTTCTTTTTTTATTGTCTTATAATTGCTTTGTTTTGCCTTATACAAAATACAAGAAATTTTTATTATTAGGAATTTTTGTCAATTCAGTTAAAAAAAAAAAAAAAAAATGCCCACTTATTCAAAAATTTACACTTAAATATGTAATGCTGAAGTAAAAAAAAATATCTAATATTTAAAAAAAAGTTGTAAAACCTCTCACCAAACAACCGTTTTCTTTTCCATCACTAATCCTCCCATACGCACAATGTGGAAAGTCTGAAGCTATGAAAATTTTAATTTTTCTTTTCTAGACTAACATGACCTTTGTTGGCTGTGTTGGAATGTTGGACCCACCAAGAACAGAAGTCTTAGACTCTATACAGAACTGCCGTGCTGCTGGTATCCGTGTAATTGTCATCACTGGTGACAACAAGGTAAGAGTTGGGCTGTTTTATTGAAATGGTTTTGTTCTTTGCATTTGAGTTTTCAATGGGCAGACACCAAGCAATTTTTTTTCTTTCTTCAACCCCAGTACACACACACAGGAATCCTTCTCAGTGAACATACCGAATTCAAAAATTGCCTTTGCAGGCTTGAACTCTTACATCCTTAACCAATGACAAAAATCATTGAATACACATGCAAACAACAAACTATATCAAATAAAACTCATTCTGACTGTACAGCATCACCAGTACCAGACACTCGAGAAAAGGTGTCACACTTAGACAAATCAAAATCAGACACACCCACATAACCCCACTTCCTCCCAAAAAAAAAAGGGAAAAAAGAAAAACTCAAATGCCCAGACTGCCAAGAAGTACTCGCTGTCAAACATTTTTTAATTAACTGCAAAAAAACTGGCACCTATATGAAAATATTTCTCCAATGGACCCAACCTTAGGGTCTTTTTTGAGTGTTGAACCCAAAGCCATTTTTTAGAATTTTTAAAAGTAACAAAACTTTTACCCCAAAATATAAAAAGGAAATCGAATGAAGACCCAATTACAAAATGCAACTAATATTAAATTGCATCCTCACCCTTATATAATAAGGACTTATAAAAAGAATTTGTCTGCAAAATTTAAAACTACCAGATTCTGTGTGAAATGACCCTTGGGGTTGGTGTCCTGTTAAAATAACCCATCTAAATCTAATCCTGAATTGGGTTCTTCATTTTATGATTGAGCACATAATTCTTGTGATCACTACACTTCCAATTGAGTCTTTAGTTCTCAAGCTGTTACTTTCCGTTGTATGGACCAATATCAGCCTGAATATCCTTTTCTCCCCCCACCCCCCACCAAAAATGGAGTTAGGAGCCCATTGGAAACTCAATGATATTTGAACTTTTTTTTTATGAATTAATTTAAAGTATTGAAACATTTTAGAATCTTATGGAATCTTTAAAGAGAAACCAAATGACTAAATTAAAAGTAATATCTATTACTAATATATTAACCTTTAGCACTCTGCATTATTAATATTCCTTCCCTTTCTACTGCATTCTTTTTCAAGACCTCTCAATTGCAGTAACCTTATTTAACTCAAGATGTTTTTTTTTTTTTTTTTTGTTACCATAGAATATGACAACACAACTATGAAATTCAAACCATATTCAGGGATCCATCACCTTCAGTGACAGTTTAAACATTTTGTACAGCAAATTAAGTCCTATACAGAGTGATAATGGTTAAATAACTTTTTTTTTTCCTTTTTTTTTTTTTTTTAATCAAACAGGAGATAAATGAGATGAAGTTAAATAAATAAATGAATGAGGGGGGGTGCTACTAAGTTTTCTATTCAATCCACTTTTCAAATAGCCAACCATCAGATTATTTTTTTTTTTTTTTTTTTTTTTTTTTTTTTTTTCTCATCCTCCTGGTTGGGCTGAGAATTTCCAGCAATTCTGTCATGTTTTGAATACTGAAAAGAGTACAATATAATCAGGTACAATGTCTGTAATAGGTGTAGATTCTAATTTTAAATATTTCCTCTTTGCTCTCAAGTCTTTTAATTAACATATTGCTGGTGTTGTATTTCAACGGTATTGAGTTTACTTATAAACCAAAGTTTTTCTATCTGCGTGTTTTCTCTTAAAGGCCACTGCTGAAGCCATCTGCAGACGTATCGGTGTCTTCTCTGAGAATGAATCTACTGCTGGTCTGGCTTTCACTGGCCGTGAGTTTGATGACTTGCCCCCAGAAGAACAGCGTGCTGCCGTTATGAGAGCCCGTCTCTTCGCTCGTGTTGAGCCTGCTCACAAAAGTAAAATTGTTGAGTTTTTGCAAGCGGAAGGAGAAATCTCAGCTATGGTAAGTAATAATAAGTATGAAATTTATCAATTCTCCTTTTTTTTGTTTTTTTTTTTTTTTTTTTTTTTTTTTTGTTTGTTTTTTTTTTTTTTTTTACAAAGACTTGTATCTGTAGATTCTTGACAAAATCAAGAGAAGAATCTCCAGTGTTATTGATCCTGACCTGGCATCTCAGCTCCGGTCAATATCATATCATTGTAGCATAGCTCCCTGTGCTTTTTCTATATTTTCATTTTTCTGATGACCTTTACTCTTTGATATCTCTACGCCACAAATTTAAATCTAGTACTAGATTGACATTCAGGTCCCCTCTTTTTGCTGTTAAAATTGCAAGTTTCAACTGTAAGTTGAATTCTGATACTTCTTTCTCTTAGCCTTTAAGGATGAATGGCCAAATGTTTAACATGCGAGTTGATACAGGCAGTGAAGTCGCGTTGATGCCAAAACATTTCTGGATAAAATTAGGACAACCAATTAAAATTAAAGCAATTTGATGGAATGACTATAAAAATAATGGGTACATTTCAAGGCAGTTTTGAAACTGACAAGCGTTTTGAAATAATTCCCATTACAGATGTAGAATGTGAAAAAGGTCACGGACTACTAGGAATTGATGTATTAAAAGTAGATACAGTGAGACTAATCAATTCCATGGAAAATGAAATAGGATTATTGAAAGACTATAAAGCAGGCATTTGACTAAAAAATTTAGTCAAAAGTTCCAATTCATATCTTACCTTTGGTAGTAACCAAATTAAACAAAATGATACTCTTTCTAGTATGCCTTGTAACTCAAGGTGGTAGCAATTGGGCATCACTGATAGTAGCGATAAAGGAACCTGATGGAGATTTAAAGATATTTGGTGATTACAAGATAGGGAATATGTTCACTCTTTTTTTTTTTTTTTTTTTTTTTTGCCAAATATCAAAACTGCAAGCCACAAGTTAACGAAAATGGAACACTTTGTAAAAATTGATCTCGAGGCAACATACAACCAAATAGAAATTGAGAAAAAATTCGAGGAAATCACCATGATAAACACCCCTATAGGCTTACTAAGATGGACACGTGTACTATTTGGCCATATTAAGCCATATTTTTCAAAAAGCAATTGAGTCTTAGGAAAAATTAAAAAAAAAAAATATAATATACCAGGACGTTATGTGTAGGGGCAAGAACTAAAGAAGGATTAAAATATGAAACTGAGCAAATTATAATTTATAAAAAGGCAGACATGACTGTAAACAAAGAAAAGTGTAATTTTGACTATAAGAAGATATCATATTTAGGATATCAAATATGAAAAGAAAGAATATCACCCAATGATAGGTTAACAAAGAAAATAACAGAAATAGCTGCTCCAACAAATAAAAAAGAATTAGATTTCTTTTTGGGGCTAATAAATTTTTATAGTAAATACATACCAAAATACAGCAACATAATAGAGCCATTTGCAAAATTATGCAAAAAAAAAAAAAAAAAAAAAATGAATTTAACTGGATACAAAAGTAAACTATTGTTTTGAAACCCTAAAGAAAATACTGAGGAACAAACCAATAAGTTTTTGATCCTCGAAAAGAAGTAACGTTAACCACAGACGTGAGTAAAAAGGCAATTGTTGCTATTCTATCACAAGAACACCCAATCACGTATATATCAAGAAACTTAATGTCAGAAATTAACTACTTGAATATTGAAAAAGAAGCACTAGTGATTTGGATTGGAAAAAAATTCTTATTAAAATCAGACCACAAACCATTATAATTCATATTTTACCTGAGAAAAGATTTGCCAAAAGTCAAGAATTTCAAGATGGGCAGTAAAAATAATGGCATTTGATTTTTAACAGAGTAAATGTATTGGGAAACCCTATCGCTCACATAGACGCTTTATCAAGATTACAGTTCAAGAATGAAACAGAAGAAAAACGGGAAAATGCTGAAGATAAAATAATACACTGGGTAGAAACGGATGTTCTTCCTCTAAATAGACTCAAAATAGAAACAAAGCAAGACCCAATATTAAGAATAGTAGAGAATAAAAAAAATAATGTATGGTGCAATTGTTCAATGGCAGAGCGACCCTTTAAAGAGATGAAGCACAAACCAACCATAGAAAATGGTATATTATGCAATGGGGATATAATTGTAGCTCCACAAATACTGAGAAGGGATATATTAAAAGGAGTGCATGATGTGCATTGTGGCATAATAGCAACACAAAGAAGACTAAAGTTACAAGCCAGGGTATTCAAAAGATGTAGAGGAATACATTAATAGATGCCCAAAATGTGCAGAAATAATAAAAAAAAAATAAAACTTCAAGCAAGCAAAAATTCACTTGTGGCTCAAGGAAGCAGAGCCATGGGTTAGGGTCCACATGGAGCATGCACATATCAAAGATAGGGGATTGTTCTTTGTATTAGGGTCTCATTTTCAGGATGGCCAGAGGTTAACAGAGTAAAAGACAGAAAAGCCACCACAATAAAGCAAGTACTAAGAACCATATTCTCCAGGAATGGAATACCCCCAGACAATAGTCGCCAACAATGCATCCCAATTTTGCAATGAGAACTTGTGTGTGTGGTTAAAACAGATTGGATGCATCCCATATGAGACGCCACCCACAATCTAATGACATTGTGGAAAGAATGGTACAAACAGTAAAAATGGAATTAAAAGCCTTCTCATCACTTAATGAAAGCAAAGTGTATCTACCAAAAATGCTCCTCAGTTACAGATCCATTCCACATGCGGGAAGAAAACTGAATCCTTTGGCATTAATGGGAAGACAAATCGGAGTCCCGATAACTGTTCTTTACAACGAAAGAAAAGGTATGGTATAGAAAGAATAGAGGCTAATCCAGAAGAAGCAAATTTCCTGGTACAAAAAGGACACAACACTGCTATACTTGAGAAAAAGGAACAACATATACTGGCACATGCAGATTGGTTCAGAAGCAGAAATGAAGTGGATGATGTAGAAATGGAAGAACAAGGCAGTTACAAAATGCCTAGCAAACCAGGTTGCTATTCAGGACACTGAGGACTGTACTATGACTACTACTATGCAGGTATATATGCAAAACATAACACCTACAATTGGTGATCTGTTTTTTTGTGGTAGTGTGTGTTAAAGCCAAAGCAAAGCATATTTTGGGCTGTAAGAAGTTTCTTACAATAGCAGTATTTCCAAAGGGGTCCTCCATTTAAGTACCAGTCTCTGCACTGCTTATCAACACTGATCAGACGAAAACAAGAGTTTTCAGCATGATTTTGACCATAGGTATTATTTGCCTACAAATAACATTAGAAGAACAAGCCAAAGAGAATTCTGTACTTTTCTTTTTATTCTGAAAAGAAAAAGGTGAAAAATTGCAACTCCGTTGTGCATAGAATGATTCAAGGAATATCTTGCTGTTAAAATATTTCATTTAGAAAACTGTTTTACCTCATCTGGTATTTCTGTTACCAATTTGCAATGTTATTGGTCATGACCTGGCTTCAGTCACTTTCTCCACTGCCATAACATAGCTTCCCTGTGCCTTTTCTATAAACACTTTCATGGTAATTGTTCTGATGACTTTCGTCTATGGCAACTAGACATTATGAATTTAAGTGTGCTACTGGATTGGCAGCAAGGTCTCATTTCACAGGGGAAATGACTAGAAGTAACCTTAAGTTCTATACTAAATTTTCTTCACTTGTACTTTTTGCTTGTGGAACTCTCCCGGCTTCTTGTCTTCCAGTCAAATTTGACCTTAACAATTGACTTTGTAGTTAAATTTTTTATTTTTTGTCTTAATTCCTGTTCTTTTATTATTCTCTCTCTTTAATGGTTTGTTTGTTCATATTCTCTCACACTTATTAACGCCTTTGTCGTAGTCACTTCAATACCTTGCTTAGGATGAAACATATTTTGAAAAAAAAAAATTATTCTAATCTAAAAGTAAAAAAAATTGTTTTTGATAATTATTGTATATAATACAAAAAAAAATGTCCCTCTGTGTCTGTCCCTCTGTGTCTGTCCCTCTGTGTCTGTCCCTCTGTGTCTGTCCCTCTGTGTCTGTCCCTCTGTGTCTGTCCCTCTGTGTCTGTCCCTCTGTGTCTGTCCCTCTGTGTCTGTCCCTCTGTGTCTGTCCCTCTGTCTGTCCCTCTGTGTCTGTCCCTCTGTGTCTGTCCCTCTGTGTCTGTCCCTCTGTGTCTGTCCCTCTGTGTCTGTCCCTCTGTGTCTGTCCCTCTGTGTCTGTCCCTCTGTGTCTGTCCCTCTGTGTCTGTCCCTCTGTGTCTGTCCCTCTGTGTCTGTCCCTCTGTGTCTGTCCCTCTGTGTCTGTCCCTCTGTGTCTGTCCCTCTGTGTCTGTCCCTCTGTGTCTGTCCCTCTGTGTCTGTCCCTCTGTGTCTGTCCCTCTGTGTCTGTCCCTCTGTGTCTGTCCCTCTGTGTCTGTCCCTCTGTGTCTGTCCCTCTGTGTCTGTCCCTCTGTGTCTGTCCCTCTGTGTCTGTCCCTCTGTGTCTGTCCCTCTGTGTCTGTCCCTCTGTGTCTGTCCCTCTGTGTCTGTCCCTCTGTGTCTGTCCCTCTGTGTCTGTCCCTCTGTGTCTGTCCCTCTGTGTCTGTCCCTCTGTGTCTGTCCCTCTGTGTCTGTCCCTCTTTCATCTGATGTTTTCTTTGTTTTTTGAGTTGATGCTTCTATTAAGACTAATTTCTGTTTATTTCTACCAGACTGGTGATGGTGTCAATGATGCCCCTGCTTTGAAGAAGGCTGAAATTGGTATTGCCATGGGTTCTGGAACTGCTGTTGCCAAGTCTGCTTCTGATATCCTTTGACGCCCCCCCCCTTAAACATGGCGTTTATTCAAACAGGTGTATCCACTAAAGAATATAATTCTTAAAGTAATAAAGAATTAAAATTAAAAAATTCAATTGATATATCTCAATTTTTTACACACAGATAAAACGCAAAAATGTCTACTAGAGACTTGGAAACTTTTAACTAACGTATGTATGTGTGAAACACAGTAATTATTTTTTTCTTGTATAGAAAAGTAATTCACTTGAATTTTGTTCTTTTTAAAGACTGTAACTGATAAATTAATTAAATTATTACTAATAGATTTTCATCTGTTAAATGACCAGTTCAAGGGCCGTAACTCTGATGCAGAGAAAGTTACATTGCAAAAAAAAATATACGGTTAAAAGGTCCGCATGAAACGAACTTTAAATATTAGAGACTTGGGGATAAACAGTAATAAGTATTTAGAGATTTTATTTTATTTTATTTTATTTTTCTCTATTACTTGTACTTCCTTGACTGTATTGCTGTACAGATGGTATTGGCTGATGACAACTTTGCCACCATTGTCGCCGCTGTTGAAGAAGGTCGTGCCATTTATAACAACATGAAACAGTTTATCCGATACCTGATTTCCTCTAATGTTGGTGAGGTCGTCTGGTGAGTTTTATTTTTCAATCCTGCTATAGATGGTCAAATGTTATATTGTAACAAACTGAAAACCTGTTTGAGTGTTAAGTATGAGATATTCCTGTAAAAAAGTTTAATCATTAATTTTTTTTTTTTTTTGACATTGCTTTCATTTTTATTGCAATGGCCTGTCCTAATTTTTAGTTCCAATCCTCTCTCTCTCCCCTCCCTCCCTATGGCTATAGGCTTACAGCCTTATAGTGTTGAAACATTGGTTCCCATACAATCACCAAAGTTAAGCAACATCAAGCCTGATCAGTATCTAGATGGTTAACAGCTTGGCAATACCAAGTGCTGTAAGCTTGGATGTGTGCATAGTGTAATGGATAATGGCTCAAAATTGTCAATCAGAGACCCATGTTTCAATTCCTATTTGGTTCCTTATATTCACTTATGCACAAATACCCTTGGAAAAGGTATGAATTTGCCTCTTCTCCCCCCCCCTATTTATGTATAAATTCTGTCATGTCTAGGTTTTATTATGTTTCTGATCATTGCTTTTTAAAATGAACATCATTGCCAAGAGGTGAAGGTAGTTAAAATAGCGGTGTCAATGAAAAATAAACGCCCTCTTGACAAATTTTTGCAGGCACAAATATCCAACTTTGCCAATTATTTACTATTACAGACTCCTCTAATATTGTCTTTTTTCTTTTTCTTTTTTTTTTTTTTTTTTTTTCCAGCATCTTTTTGACTGCTGCCTTGGGTATCCCAGAAGCTTTGATTCCTGTCCAACTGTTGTGGGTCAACCTTGTAACTGATGGTCTGCCTGCCACTGCTTTGGGCTTCAACCCACCTGATCTTGACATCATGAAGAAACCCCCCAGAAGTGCCAAGGAATCTCTTATCACTGGATGGCTCTTTTTCAGATACTTGGCCATTGGTGGTAAATAAACTCTTCTTGATTTCTTTAATAGTGACAATAAACTGCATCCAGAGTGGTAGCACCTGTTAGGGTCCCTGCTATAGGCAAATAGTCAACCCCCAAAATGTGGTCAAAATACTTTGAAAGCATGAAAATAGATTATAGTAAAAATACCATATGTTTTGTAAAAAGAAATTACTAATTCTCCCCCCAAAAATTAAATTTCAGCACTAAATGACCCCCTAAGAAGTGGATATGCTGCTAAACAAAACATATTTAAAGCAAAATGACCAGCAATATATTTTATCTGTAGTTGTAGGCATACAATTGCTTTCAAAATGTATTTAGTTGAAGCGATGAAATTATGTTCAAATTACTTGATTACGGTATTAAATAACCCAAAGTGGTGTTGATATGCTGCTAAATAAATCAACCAACTAATTTCTTTAACCATTGACTCTACATGCTGATGCCCAAGAAATTAAACAGCTTTCTCACTGTAAGTCCCAGCAGTACTTCAGGCAATTGAATTGTCATAATCTGTCAAAAAGATAAGTTCCTATCAGACTTTACAGTCTGAGTCAGAAAACTTTAAATAGACTATAAAAAAAAAAATAAATGAAGCATCTATTCAAATATGTCTATTTAAATTTGTCTGATTAACAAATAAAAAAAATTCTTACTACTTTAGAAATTGCTTTGTTTACATTTGAATACAAAACTGAACTGGTACAAACTTTAGAAGAGCTAGACAAAGAAAAATGTTCTGAAAGGGAGATATGAGATAACGATATAAATTTTTATATATAAAGAACAATAAAAAATTCTTGTTTGATGGATGCTGGGGGGGGAAAAATATATAATAGCTGGCCACTCGCATTTGAGAATACCTGTCTACTAGAGCAGCTAGCCAATCCCTATTGCAGACTCTTGCTCAGGCACATTTGTTTGTTCAACACCCACAGAGCCAAACTATGGTTTATACTGCAACTATGCTGAGCAGACCTTAGTTACAAGTATTTGGGAGAGAGCATGTTATCGAGAATGATCAACAATCTGAACACCACCATCACACTCTAACCCTCAGTGACGATGACTTGTGACTTTGTGCCATCACAGCTATTGACGGCTCCAAGTGTTTCATCTATCCAATTACACTCACAAGGCTTGGGTCAACCTGTGGTATGGTTTTCAGGCACTTCTCAAAGGTGCCACATGCATAACATCAAGAAGTCTCCTTCCTCACAAATCGACCATTGTGAGATTAGGAGCCGGGTCTCATAGCCAGAAGCGAATGTTGTAACCACTCGAGATATATATATATATATATATATATATATATATATATATATATATGTGTGTGTGTGTGCGTGCACAAACATAATTTCATTTAGATTTTTTATCACTTAAATAATGTAATTGAAAATTGATGCTGGAAATTTTACATTAAATTTTCAATTAGATTATTTAAGTGATAAAAATAATCTAAAAAAAACTGTGATTTTTTATATATATATATATATATATATATATATATATATATATATATATATATATAATATATATATATATGTGTGTGTGTGTGTAAATGTTATGTAAAAATTGATCTTGTATGAATTTATCATTCACAAAGTACAGAGAAGTGTACATTCTTATATTACCTTATAATATATACACTAACACACGAAGGTAGATCTATGTATCTACCAGTATATCTTTTAGTTTTTGTCTTGATGAAAACTGCTAACTTCAAAAATCAGTTTTCTACATGCTACTTTGTCTTTGATTTTCATTAGCTTTTATAATTGATTTTTCCAATAAACCAATTTTCTGCTCTGAAATTGGTAACTACCTTAACATTTAGATCACAGCTTGAAATCAGATATAAAGCAGTGTTGATATTTTGGATGCCAGATATGGAATAGTTATCAAACCACTTTAATTATGATAGTTTTGCTAGTACCAGTGTATGGCATACACAAATCTCTCAAAACAGTCAGGCAAAGGGAAGTGACTTTACCTACACAAAGCTGGGTATTGTTACTAGTAGTATAACCTTTTCTTTTGATTCTGTCTACTGTTAATAATTGTCTGCTTTTTTTTCAGGATACGTCGGTGTTGCAACTGTTGGTGCAGCTGCCTGGTGGTTTATGCTTTATGAGGAGGGACCCCAACTGAACTATTACCAACTGGTAGGTTTTGATCTGGTTATCTTCTCTTTTCATAAAAGACATACCCTGTTTGAAATTATCTTAATTTTTAACATAATCTCCTTTTATAATCTGGATCATTCCTATAATCATATTTTTAACTATCAACATTTTAAAAATGAACTTCAGTATTAACATACCCCTCTTTTAAAATAATTTCTTTCATATCCGAGCAGCTTAGCTTGTTTTCAAACTCAAGGAAAATAAATAGTAAATTGACCCCTTTAAATTTAATCTGTAAACTAGGAACATTTAAATGACCTTGTAAATTTGTTTGGTAAAATAAATAAGTTTATCTAAAGTTAACCCTTATAAGCTTTAGATATTTTTTTTCAATAACCTTGTAAATATGTTTTATATTATAATTACAAATTTTAAGTTTTAACATTTAAAAAGATCTAATTTAAAATTTGCTATTGTAACTGTTTTGAACTACTGAGTTTTTTTTTGTTTTTCTTTGTTTTTGTTTTTATCTGTCCTATTCAACAGTCTGCAAATTGGTTCATAAAGAATTTTTTGCTTTTTTTTTTTTCAATGTACATTTAAATTGCTTTTTTTTTTCAGCAGATCCACTTTCTAAAGGAGACTTTCCTGTGGTAAAACTAAATATTAGAAATTTTTTTTAATTCGTAAATTAAAACTTCTAATTAACCCATATCCTCCTAGTGTCAGTTTAAATGGATGCATTTTTTTATTCCATATATATTAAATGATATAAGCAATTTTGATGGGGGTGCTATGGAAATGTTAATTTTTTCCAAAGTTTCATTTGAAATCAAGAAAATATAAACTATAAGCAAAATGATCACAAAATATATAGGATAAAAAAGGTTTCAGCTTAAACTGATGCCAGAATGATATGGATTAAAGACGAGAATATGTTGTCTTGCAACCATTCATCTAAATTTTGTGGGTGGGGACAGTTTGTCTTTTTTAAAAAGAAAAAAAAAAAGCCTTATTTTCACAATGGCTAATGTTTCATTTTTGTTTTTTGCAACACTGTAAACAAACCCCCAAATAAATCTGACATCCACTTTTAATTTACTTGCTAGATAATAAATTGTCCTTGCTACCTATGCTTTTTTTTTTTTTTTTTTTTTTTTTTTTTTTTTGGTAAATTTACTACCACATGTTAATTCTTATGCCATAATGCCTCTTGACTATTTTAAGGCAAAAAATCTATGCTAACAAAAGTAGTATGCAATATAGCAGTTTAAAAAAATGTTGCATTATGTAAAAAGTTCAAAGATCTAAGGTAGCAACAAATCTTTTTTTTTTTTTTTTTTTTTTTTTTTTTTTAAATAACTTTCAAGATAAATATTTTAATTATACACTTAAATTTATTCAATAGGAAGGTCTTTGATTTCAAATTCCAACTGGTCTATTTGATTTCTATAGCATCATTTAATAAATTCCTACCATAAAACTGTTCAAATTACTGCAAATAATTGAATGCATCTAAATTCTTAAACTCTTGCATTCTCCTTTCTTTACAATAAATGTTTAATATGCCAAAAAGTCATTTTATTTTGACCAAACTTTAATATTTGCGAAACAAAATTCCCCTTTCAGAAAGCTTTGAAATCTGTCAAATTAGTTTAAGCTGCTTTGTATCTTTTTTTTTTTTTTTTTTTTTTTTTAAATGTCTTACTATAATTATCTAAAAAAAAAAAAAAAAAAATCTTCATTTCAGCTCTCATTTGCATCGTTCATAATGCTGCCAGTAATTTCTATTTTTCTAAATTCTTTCATTAACAACTTTATATATATATATATATAAAATGGCTGACTCATGATAGGTGCAAAGTTTATAAGAAACCAGTTATATCAAATACTTGATTCAATGGACAATAATATCCATAGAAAAGATTTATTCCTCAAATTTACTTACTACACAAATGTGTGTACCCACCCATAATTCCAATTCTGTGGAAATGGAAAATTTGACTCCCAAATCTTGCTTGTGGTAAGTCTTTTAAGACTTTATGACTTAGTGGAGCAAGTTCTTCTCAGAATGGAAATAGGAAAGGCTTGTTTTGTTGATAAACTCTAGGTGTAAAATAACCCACAAGGGTTGAGGTAACATTTAAACAAAACTTAGGAGAAACAAATATGACAAAGTGGAAAAAATTGTTTGTCATCAGTTTCATCCTTTAGGACTTAATCAGACTAAATTTATACTGATGTGACTGTACATGGGCAGGAGGGTGATAAGAATTTAAGTTGTTTTTTTTTGGGTGGGGGGGGACATAATCTAGCCAGTTTCGTTTTTGAAACTTTTCTCACACTTCTTCCCCCAAAATTGTTCTTGATTTTTTTTTATATATATATATATATATATAAATTTCCCCATATCAACATTTGTTGTCAACACTATTAAAAAGCAACTTGCCACTGTTTGCACTGAGAGTTGAAATAACTTTGTGCAAATTTTTTTTTTTTTTTTTTAAAGAAAAAAATTTCATGGGGGGAATGGTGGCAAACCTTTTCTTTACCAACTTTGTCTCTAAATGAATTCATAAAGCCTGCTACTGTTTAATAGAAAGTCTACTGAAGCCCTGCCAAATCTGGAATAGTAATTTTATTCCAATCTTAAACACTTCAGTGTTTACAGAGCACCTTAAGTATTTTCATTGTGAAAATGTTGACAGCACATTTTTACTACATCGAAAGGAAATGGTCTATAGCAAAAACAGAAGTCAGCTTATGAAGACAAGAAAAAAAAAAAAAAACTACAGTATCAGCCTGTTAAATAATGATAATAATAATAAGAAAAAAAAAAAAAGTGTTCTATGTCTCTTTGTGCTGTAGCTATCATTCTCCAACCTGGGCCATGAGCCTTGTGCTCTTTTGTCATAAGTTTCATGAAATAACTGAAAAACCCTCCTCCTCGCAGACCCACCACATGCAATGCCCTGCTGAGCCAACCCGATTCAAGGATATTGACTGTGAGATCTTCGATGCCCCAGCAGCCAAGACCATGGCCTTGTCTGTACTTGTTGTAATTGAAATGCTCAATGCTCTCAACAGGTAATCGCTTGTTTAGACTAGCAAGACCAAAAGAATCACTAAATACCAGTTTTGTTGTTGGGTTTATTTTATTTTTTTATTTCACTTTAATTCTGTGTCTTTTCCACTTACTCGCTTTATTTTCTCTTTGTTGTACAACTGATGACCACCATGTGTTGAATTTTTCACTGGAGCAAGTGCTTTAACCTATTGTGCCCAAATGCTATCAATCTTAAAATGCCTTCTCAGAACCTTAGTTTTCATCAAAGCTTAAAAGAACTAAACAGACAAATGTCTTTACCACTGTCTTTCGTAATAGAAAAAAATAATTCCACCTCATTTTAAAATATTATGGCATTTGGGTACTGTAGGTTGTAAAAAAAATTGTTAACTTATTAGTATTTATAAGTTGGTTCAAACTATTACTCGCTCTTGGATTTGCTTTATGAAGACAATTTATTGACTTCTATTTATGGAAGAAAAGTCTCCTACAAATATCTTCTTGCTGCTTCTTTAATGTTATTATTTATTCAAGGTTACATAGGCATGTAAATTACATTTTGTAGGCACTTTGTCAGTAATAAAAATTGCTTTCCTTACTCTCGTAACCAGTGAGAAAAGCTACTTTGAAAGTTGTGTATCTATTAACAGATTAAAAAAAAAAAAAAAAAAATTTGCTTTAAAAGATTTTTTTTTTTTTTTTTTTTTTTTTACAACAATAAATCAAGCATATGGTTACTTTATTTTTTATATAAACAAGTTTTGACGTTAAACTTTGTACACTGTATAGTCAACTCATATATATATATATTACTAGAATTAAATTTGTCATAGGAATTCAGTATTATTTGTGGCTAGTGATAACTTTCAAATGCCTTCACAATACTTGCTATGTGCAAAAGGTTTTCTTTAGAATAAAAGAACTTGCTTTTTATCAAAGTGCTGCTTAATAGTAAGCAACAATATATCAACTTTATTCTTCTTGTTGTTAGAAGATGTGGGTAATGTGTATTGGCAAGCCAAGTTCAAATTCCAGCTGAATCCATGTTCACTTGAGAAAGAAACTAATCCATCTCTTCTCTCATCAGTTGGACACCTTGACGTGGTTAACAAACTTGTCTCATTAGGACCATTACAACTGAGTAGTGAGTTTGATCCTCACTGGGTACCCCTTACTTTCGGCCTTGTGCCACATCTAAGCTACACTTAAAAAAAAAAAAAAAAATTACCATTTCTTTCATAGTTATGGATTAAATAGTAGACTTACATTGTCTAACCTTGAGTGATTTCCATTCTAGATGATAAACTGAATTAAAAACCATGGCAATGACAAAAGGAATTTATTCTTTCTCAACAAGTCATGGCAATTCACAGTAATCTGTGGAGAAGTAAGGTCATTAGTCCTGAAAAGATAGTATAGGGGCAGTCTGTAGCATTTCTTGAAATTACAGACCCGTTTGAAAGCTTTTCTCCTAATATAGTAAAATTTTTCAATTCTTGCTTTGTCGGCATTTAAAAAAAACTGCTAGAACATTCATGTCAACAAAAATTAAAGTTAAATAAAAAAAAAAACTCCAAGGCACAAGAATAATAGTTTGAAAATGAAGACTTGTAAATGCTTGACTAATTAAGAACCAAGAAATTAGTAACGCATTCACCTTCAAACCTAAAATCACATGTGTTTAATCTAAACTTAATCCAAATAATTCTGTTTCAGGTATTCCCTTATTCCCACACCCAATTTTTCTTTATTTTCTTTTTCTTTTTTAACTCTTGATTTAGGTTTAAAGGTTGAAAATGCCTTACACTGACTATTATTAAAATAATTCTCTTCACCCTCATCCCTACCCCTTATTTTTTGATGAGCTTCATTTAACTTATTCTGATTTGCATTTCCAAACCAGTCATACAATTGAACATGATGCCTATTGAGCAAGCTAATTCACTCCATTTTTTTTTTTTTTTTTTTTTAAGGTGGGCTTCAAATTACATGCCTAAGATTAGCCGCTTTTCATAAAAATTTAATTCTCATTCCAGTTGTCCCTTAAGTTAACTGAAGCACAATAATCTAGTTATATACACACACACACACACAGTGAAGGGATATAGTTTTAAGGTGTGCTATATTTATGGGATAAAGTGCTCAATATCAGAGTGTATATAAATATAAAAGTGAACATTGAAGTCAACACTCAGAGGTTTCATGTTTCATGCTAGACGCATTTGTAAAACACAATTTCTTAAAACTTGGTCTGAAGAAATTAATATAACAATATTCATGAAATTATAACTGAAATGTATTTTTAAGGTTTTTCTTGATTTATCATTCTCTGTAATTTACATTGAGCTCTCTTTGGTTTAATATCCTCTTGGAATTATCCCTACACACACACACACACTATCTATCCTACTTTCATTTAATATCCCTCCTTTTTTCTTAAATACTAAATAATTCAACATATAAGTGTTTTATTTAGCCTGAAACCTCTATAATATTTTTAAAGAATTTTTTTTTTTTTTGTCTTGCTCAATTATCAACATGTTTATATCTGAAACTAGAATTTTATTTTGATATACATAGCCAACTTCACTAGAATAATTGAGGCTAAACTTTTGGCATACATTTTTTGTGCCTGCAAAAGAAAAAAAAAATATTCTTCCTTTGACACTGCTATTATTTTAAGTACCTTTCTTTCTTGGGAATGTTTTAGAAAGTGATGATTAGAATTTAAAACCTAAACATATGATGGAAGTGATTTTATGCTTCTTTTTTTAATGTTCTTGAGAATTTACAACAAAAATATTAAACTATTTATTTACTAGATTGTTTATTTACAACAATATTTTTATATTTACATTCTAAAAACTAATACAATTAAGAACTAATGCAATATTTCATTTACTAATTTATAATGAAATAAACAATTTTTTTTATTCATAAATTTATAAACATTTACTAAATTAAAATGTGTGAACCAACAAAAAGGAAATCTTTTATTTTATAAAGTCTGAACAAATTAACAGCCAATGTTTTTTCAAACCCTTCCAATAAACAAATTTTTATTTTTGTTGTCAATTCTCAAGAACAAAAAGAGTATATATTCACTTTCATATGTTTTAAGCTTTATTACAATTCTAATCATTCTTTTTTTTCTTTTTTTTTTTTTTTTTTTTTTTTTTTTTTTTTTTTAAATGTTGCCAAGTAGTGAAGGTAGTTAAAATAGCGAGGGAGTTTTTTTTTTTTTTTTTTTTTTTGCAAGCATGAAGGTTAAAGTTTGTCAAACTTTTTAGCATTATATATAAAATATGCCAGCCATTGCTCAACATACAAAGTAAATGCTACGCCTTTTAATTGTTCAATCCATTCCACCAAAAAAGAAATCTCTAATACAAGACAGTGCTTAAAAGTTTGTACATGAAACTGTGATCTCTTATCAGTCTGATTCGGCATTTGTCATGAGATATTCTGTTATTATGGTAACAGTAAGCATTATTTGATGCCAGGAGGCAAATATTTTGTTACATTTAATCTTTTAAGTAGAAAAGATCAGGCTATAAATGTGGCTTTGTATTTTGTTGCACATTACCTTTCTTCATCTATTTTTTACAATTAAGGATCGCCAAAGAACTTTTACGTTTGATGTTTGACGTCATTAGGATTTGATGGATTCTTTTCAGAAAATGATTGTAAATAAAGCTCAGCAAAACTCCTACATTTTCCCCACTCTCCCATATTCAATTTTATTTTTTATTATCTAATATTTTTTAATAATCATTAAAGAAAAAAAAAAGCACTTGCTGGGAACTGACCTAAAGTGAAAAAAAATTAATGTCATTATCCTCCCACTTTGACCTAACCTTCTCATTGGATATCACAGTGATCTGGAGACAACTCTCTCTGGAGAGGGGGCACACACGCACACAAAAAAAAAAAAAAATGTCTTCTCCAAGCAAAATTAGTCTGCTTTTGCGTGCCAGCGAGATCAGTTAGATTGCAAAACCTTGAATGCTACTAACTCCTTGATATTAATACTATTTCTCCAGACCCACCACTCACAGTGCCCTGCACAGGAAGGCCGTTTCAAGGGTGTTGATTGTGAAATCTTTGATGCCCCAGAAGCCAAAACCATGGCACTGTCTGTCCTGGTCGTCATTGAGATGTTGAATGCACTTAATAGGTAAGGAGTCTGAGTCCGACATGGCTGTCTTGCAGGAAGTTCAGGAGTGATGTGATCGTCAACATCAGTAACCTAAACACGAAGGGGATGTGATTTTTATATATATATATATATATATATATATATATATATATATATATATATATATATTTCTTAAACATGACAAATATCTCTATACATGCACACATACTTTAACACTTACACAAGTCTAGTCACTTTCTTATACTAAAATTTAATTCTGGGGAAATATCTTTGTTTATTACAATACATTTTTTAATTCTTTCAACAATTTTTAAAAAAAATCTTTCCTTGTTATATGAATGTCTATTAGTTCTTAGGCAAACAAAATTACTTTTTTCTCATGAACACTCAAAATTTGGTTTGTTGGCTTTTTTTTTTTTTTTTTTTTATAAATGTTTGATAAAATGTAGTTGTCTATATTAAACTATTTGAGGGAAGTAATCTGTAGGTTTTTGCAAGTTTCGGGTTTTACACCCCCTTTTCATATAATTACAACTTTTTTTTCTTTTTAACTTAGTCTGTAAATTTACATCGCTATCATTTAAGCTTTGTTCTTTTTATTGTAAGTATTGTAATTACAGGTTCTTTAATTTTTATACAGGTTTATATAAAGATCTGTCTTAAGTCTTAGGTTATATGTAGTTGAATTGAGATTGGCCCAGGTCTTATTTGGTGCAGAATTTGTTTGAGGCACACAGAAAATGTTTATATAAATTAAAAAAAATCTTGTCCAGTTGGAGGCAGGAGACTAGTTTCATAAAAACTGAAGGTACTACATGATGTGATTATGCAGAAAATGTTTCCCCAAAGTAGTTTTTTTTTTTTTTTTTTTTTTTTTTTTGTTAAGATGGTTATGTTGATGGATTCCTGGATTTTTTAAATGGTGCAATAAAAGTAGCATGTTTACACAATGACTTTAGTTTAGCACTAAGTTTTGATTTTAGTTGACTAATCTTACTAGTCTATCTAGGCTTTTTTTTTTTTTTTTTTTTTTTTGCCTGCTCTTTTTTTTTTTTTTTTTTCTTTCTTTTCTTCTCTTTCCTTATCACAAATTACTGCTTGTTTGAGCTTGTTGCTTTTATACTAACGCCCAAAATGTTTTAAATCAATTTTAAGTAGATAAGCCAGCTTCTTAAATACAAGACTTTATGCTAACCTGTCATACCCATACTATCATCACCTGAAAACTTCATAGATGTCATCTTTATTATGCATCGGTTCTTTTTTTCCAATTTGCCACCTACCTAAACTTGGGTATATATAATTTTAGGTCATCTTTGACTCTGGTCAGGAGACCATTCTATTTGCAATGAAATTGCATTTTCATATGATCTGAAAATGTCGGAGAGCATTAAAAATAAATCATGCAAATGCTCACTGACAAACTGTTCTTTTGATCCACTTGGATCTTATCCCTCTTTTTTTATGCATTAAATCCTTACTTTCTCTTGACAATGAAAGTTTGTTTCTTTTCTTTTCTTTTTTTTTCTTCCCCATTACCCAACCACCCTCCTTTTTAAACTTTGTCTGGTCCTCCTCTTAAAGAAAATGATTCAACACCCGCACTAAAAATCTTGCTCTCTTATTTAAACCAATTCTGTTACGCTTGTTAGATCTCTTCAGCTTAACACAGCAAAGAATCTTTGTAATTTTTGTTTTAATTTCTATGATGGCATTTTAGATTTCTGTGAACTTAAAAACTCTGCATTGTTCCTGGTTGGCAGCTGACGAGTGCAGAGTATCACATGCTTTTGTGTGTATGTGGAAAATATAGCTTTTTAGTTTTCAGATGAGTCATTCCCTGTAGTTCCTCCTCATATAGATTTAATTTTTATTTTAAAAGTAATTGTTGACTGGATTCAGTGTCAACATTTTTTTTTTTTTTTTTTATTACTTAACTGAATTTTATTTAGTACACAGTTCTATGTAATATTGTAATAAGTCAGAAGATACATATCTTGCTTTCATAAAAAAAAAAGTTGTCTCCCTTTTTACAATATGGCGGCCCTTTCACTGACTTGAATTGAAACTCCGATCTCGGATTAACACTTCCGAGTCATTATCCATTACACCACCCATGTATGAGAACTGGTGCTTCAACATGATATGGCCGGAAGCCTTATTTAATAATCAAAATGAAGTTTATAGGTTGAAGGTTCAGAAAATACATATTTCATCATTGAACACCAAACCATACATAAAGGACTGAGGTTAGAACATAGTAAGTAAAACAGTAAAGATTAAGTTATATGCATGACATTCGAAGAATAAGCAAAATTCATCTTAGAACTACAGACAGACCTATGAAGGCAGAGAGTGCATCAACCTATCGTGATTATTTTCTTTTTTTTTTCTTTTTTTTTTTTTTTTTTTTTTGTTAGAAGCATGAATTTGCTAATGCTTATATCAATATTTTATCTGTTGCTGCCTGTTATAAAACATAGTGCGGTAATTGAGATGGGGGTGGGGGGTGCATTGGGTCTTGTTTCTTCTGTTGTACAGGTAATTAGTGTTCTCCTTTCAATACCCTCTTTTCGTGAAGTTAAGGAGTTGGGTAATTAGTTTTGTCCAATATCTGCTTAGGAATTAAATTTAAAATTTGTTAGACTAACTCCCCACTTCTACCAGCAAAAACTAGTTATTGATGCAGCTGTTAGCAAACTTAATTTCCTGACATGTACAAATGCAAATAAAATCTCTTTTCAATTGAGGGGTTGGTAATAGTAGTAGTTGTGGGCTTTCATATCAGTACTAATTCCTCTTCACACTTTAGATACTTATCAGTCACATGGTTTTATTCCATTGTTAAAACTAAAATTAGCAAGTGAACATAACTGTGTTACCAAAATGGAGTATCTCTTAGTTTTTGAGGAGATCAGCCTGCTAATACATTGCTTTTTGTTTCATATTAACCTTCTTTGGATATGATTTGAAATCTAAAATTCTTTCTTACCTGTGACACTAGTTGCATAATTTTAGTTTACTTTTGAAAATATAATCAATGACTTGTGAAATGTTTCAGACATCGGTCACTTTCTAACTGTATGGAGGGGGGGACTTATTAAATTTTGAAATATTTTAGAGTAGAGCCTTAAAGAAATTAAGGTATTGGCCTTCTGCTACATCAATAATTCTCTTAAATTATGGATGCTAGTTTCTTGTTACCCTCCATCCCTGGTGTTTGCTGGATTCTGGGTTGACTAGTCACTGTCACAGCCTGTTGTTTTATTTTTGTTTTATTTTTTCTCTTTTTTTTTTTTTTTTTTTTTTCCTCTCCTTCTTGCATTGCTTCTTATCCTTTTTCTGCCTGACCATATCTATCTCACACATACATACATACACACACACATATATGTGTATGTATGTGTGTGTGCGTGTGTAGTAGTGCAATTCTTTCATTTGCTCCATATAAAAATCTTGTCTGATCAACTTAAAGCTGTAGCTTTTTTTGTTGTTGTTTTCTTCAGACTGTAGCTCTAGGGGTCTCGTTTTTACTTTTCAACTTCTCTCTCATTTTTGTAGCCTTCTTTTTTTTTTTTTACTGTGCTTATATATATATATATATATATATATATATAATTATTTTTATAAAAAAATTATAAGTATGTTATAAAATCACTACAAAAATAGCCATTTTGTTTCAACACACTGTCTTATCAAGTGATGATGTTGAAAAGAAAAGATCATATCCAAAGAAGGTTAAAAGAAAAGATTTTCTTTTCAACATCATCACTTGATAAGACACAGTGTGTTGAAACAAAATGGCTATTTTTGTAGTGATTTTATAACATACTTATGTTATAATTTTTTTTATAAAAATAATTATATCTGCTCTACTTTGTATTGAGCACTCTTTTAAGAATAGTAATTGTTGGTTGTTGGAATTCATTCCGTGTATACCATTATATATATATATATATATATATATATATATATATATATATATATATATATATATATATATATACATACATACACACTGATATGGAGGAAAGGAAATTTTAATAATTTTTTATTCCCCCTCCCACCTTTCTGATATTCTGTATTCTGCTGACACCTTTTCCATTTTATGAAAAGGTTCAATAGGTGAGCCATAGAAGCAGATTTAGGCAGGTGTTAGCACCAGATCATTAAACTGATCAAAATAATAGAATAAATTTTTTTTTTTTTTTCTTTCTTCTATTAAGCTATTTAGAAACCTGGCACCCTTAGCATATGTGTATTTTTTTTTATCTAAAATTTTCAATGGTCTGTTGAGTTATCACCGGTGTAGGTTTTGCTGAGTTTTTAAGGTCTGACCTTCATCTTTGTTGCTGTACCAGTGAACTTTGCTTCTTTCATGTGTACGTTGTCACCAATGGGGGGGGGTGGCACTGGACAAGAATGATACCAGTCTCCATAATGTCTAGGTTTTTATTTATCCTTTGGTATGATTGGTTAGAGTTAGCTGCCCCCCCCCTTTTTTTGTGTGTGTGTGTTTAAAGGCTTAGAGAAATTCTGTTTAGTTTAACAAATTATTTTAAAAAAAATAACCTCACTACCTGTCCTGTTGTAAGAAAAATGGTAAAGCAGCACCTCTGTATTTTGGGCTAGCATGGTCGGCTAGGATTGGAGTGGGGTTGGGGGCTAAGAGGGAACTTCTTTCTCTTTCAAATACATTAAATCTCATTCATTACCCAAGATAGCTTTGATAAACTATTATAATAAAGAGCTCGTAGAGTAATTGGATAGGTGAATTACCTCCCCTTTACATGTATATTTATGACCGGTTGCTTCACTTCTCAAAATTAGGGTTTTTTTTTTTCTTCTTCTCCCAAGTGGGTTGAGCTAATATTTTTTTTCTCTTTGCACCTTCATATTGGGATTAATTGACTGAACAAGATTACTTTGGATTACCGTTGATAATCTTTCGTTTTACCAAATGTAAATATAGAGTACTAAAGATATTGAGCACTTCAGTATTATAGTGATTTTTTGGG